ATAAATGAAATATCTGCCCATGAAAATCTCATTTGAATGAAATTCTGCTTCCAGGATTTATAAAATAAAGGGATTAAATATTATGGTCTGATGGATGGCATACCAGTTAGTATGGCTTGATCTGGTTGCATTATTTGCTGCAGAGATTTGTTTTTATCAAGAATAAACCAAAGCTATTGATGATGAAAGAAAGACTTCGGAGTCAAATGGTTTTGGGATGTCAGCGAAATAATGCTATTAGGCGTGCATGCTCAGTGAAACTTGAAAGAGAATTTAATTCTGCAAACACACCTGGGGAGATGTTCTGTTCCAAGTGGGGCTACTGTGCTAAAAAAAGGGTATTTTGCATGTGTTTGGGTCTGGGCAGGAAATTACACCAGCAGTGTCAGAGTAGTGCATCCATTACTTTTGTACAACTTCCTGCCACTGCTAAACTTACAATACAAGAATAGTTCCAGGGAATTAAATGCCCTGAGTTTCCACTCATATTTTACCCCCCATAAACCCTAAGCTTGCTTGTAGATAAACCACATCTTTTCTTTCAAGTGGGAGGGACAGATATACTATCATCTGGGTGTACATAAATAATGCTGCAATTAACTCCCATTAAGCAGCAGTTGTTTTGCTGGCAGGAATCTTATTCATTTGGAATATTCTGGCACAACAAGTACATGATGGAGATTAGATCCCGCAAGACCGAAGCAAGAACTCTTCTCCATGTGATGTGATGAACTATGTATGCTCTCATGCGTCTTTCTGGTTTTGGTTTTCGTTTGTGATTAAGGCATAATTAGGTTGCTGAAGTCTCACTGTGTTTAAGCAGAGGGCTGAAGGAGTGATGAAGTGGACACTAACCAAAAAGGGAAAAAAGGTAAAGCCAGTGGGGGAGTCTGAGTCCCGTCATAAAGATGTCTTACACTACAGAAACTGGCTTGTTTTGAAAAAGACGAACAAACTATAACATGTTAGCTTGATGAGGGATGACCATTTGAACCAAATGAAATTAAAATATACATATCTTTTTTCTCGTAAAGCAAAAATACAAAAAAAAAAGGGGGGACAAAAACGGGAGAGAGCATTTCAGTTTTATCAGAACCCAAAAGGAACCCCCCCCCCCCCACC